CCCGGCCCCTCCGGTACTGGGAATCGAACTCACGACCTTGCGCTTGCCAGGCAGGCGCTGTGCTGCTGAGCTAAATCCCCAGCCCCCCATTCTTGCTACTTTGTGAAGCAGCTCTGAAAGTCGTCTTTCATGAATCTGTGGGGTGATCAAAAATATGGTGAATAGTTTTGGCACTGCAAGTGCCATCCAGCAGAAATCAGGCTGTTTAAACACCCGATGCTCGGTTCTTGTCCGTCTTCCTCATCAGCCCCGTGACTTCTGGCATTTCCCCAAAGTCAAGCTGACTACTGTCTTTCTCTCCTTGCTGAGACGAGATACCTAACGCCCAGAATTAAGGAAAGAAAGGTTTATTTAGCTCACGGTTCATAGATGTTTCAGTCCTTCATCAGCTGGCTCCCTGGCAGCATGGTGTGGCTGAGGGGCAACCATTCATGGTGGCAGAAGACAGCAAAGGCAAAAAGAGCAAAAAGCGGGGAGAGCAAGCCTCTTTACCGCCCTTAATTGTAAGCAGGCTACCTGTCCTCGGTTGGGTGTCGCGCTCACAGTCTCCATGCCCGCCTCTTGCACAGGCTCAGGATGTTTTACAAAGTGGCCCCCTGGCTCCCTGCTGAGTCACTTAACCTGACCTTCTCAAGTTGACAACCAACCATTACAGCCATGAAAGGTCAGCACTTTGAACTGACTTAGGACTGAGGCAGCCCCAATATCACAAGTATTTTGAGGGTGATTAATGGTGATCTGTCCTTTACTGTAATAATTTTTAAAAATTTAACAGGCACTGTATTTTTAAATTGGGCATTCCAAGTGGATCTTTTGATTGATTATATTTATTTGTGGGTCCTTTTGTAGAAATGTAAAAACTACATAGTTACATTTTTCCAGGTGAATCTCATCTTCTGTTGGTTGGAGATCCTGGCACTGGGAAATCCCAGTTCCTCAAATATGCAGCCAAGATTACACCAAGGTCTGTGCTGACAGCAGGAATTGGATCCACCAGTGCAGGTATTTTATGTGACAGCTTCAAGTAATTTATGTTTACTATAAACGTAATACTTTTTCTCTTTATGAAAAAATACCTATAGAATAAATTTCAAGCTAAGTTTTTAAGAATTACTGCCAAAATTGAAGGAAATATGTAATGTTGCTTTTGTAGTTCTGAGAAAATATTTTAAAAGGTCTGTCTTCACTTCTGTTTGTTTGAATTTTAAATGATGCTATAATTTTTCTCATTTTCTGTAATTACCTTCATACGTATTTATGCAAGGAAATATACACATCATCAGGCATTTTATGAAAACCCAGCAAACCGAACATCACAGTAAAGTGGATGGGGGACATTTCACTTTACAACATTAGTTAGTGGCGAAGAGTGTGATGAGTTCGTACGGGTGAATCCCAGCACCGGCGGCTCTTAGGCAGAGGTGTGCCAGTGGCATTTGGACAGCGTACCTTCCCTCCGCAGCAGGGAGCTTCCTTCACAGTGTAGACTCTTCAGCGCAGATGGTGAAAGTCTTTGTAGCTAGGTGAAAGATTAGTTTTTAAGGTGACTTAGGGAATTTGTGAAGTTTCATTTTAAAAATGTGTTTTGATGCCATTTTATATTTTTAGTTTTGATTGGAGTCATATTTCTCCATTTCTTCTAAAGAGAGGTGTTGGGTTCACACATTCTAGGTATGTAATTTTCTGCTTACGGGAACTAAACTTCCATGGCCTATGTTCAAACTTCTAACCAGCATATACTTTAAAATTGGTCATACAACAGAAAATGCTCCATAACTACTGGTCCTGTGTAAGTACTCTCAGGTGTTAGAAGATAAGTGTGACCAGACAGTCTGTAACAAACAGTGACAAGAAAGGGATTTGTAAGTTGAGAGGTGTGGACCAAGTACAAATGGTGGAAGGAAAATAGACAAGAATATATAAAGAATACTTCATACATTTTAAAATTGTTATGACCCAGGGTTCTAGAGTTCTGGTAAGATGGTGTCAGCAATGAGAAATAAAGATGTTTCCTCGGTGATTACAGGGAATGCTTAAGTAATTGCATGGAGAGTCCGCAGACCACTTGGGGCATTTCATGGTGAATGGTGGCTAATTCAGTGTCAATAAATTGTCTAAGTGTGGTAGCTCTTTTGTATGCGGAATCATAATCTGAATATGAGAGATGAGGCTGGTAGAGTATAAATTGTGTAGTTCTAGAAATTTCTTGCTACTTCTCTTCCACCCTAAGGACCAGGGTAGCCTTTTTCAGCCTCTGTACTGCAACTCAATAGGGAGTTGTACCGTATACGTAAGAGTGCATGAAAGGGAGCATTTTCGTGATTTTTAATGCAAATATATACTTGGGTTGCTTATTTCACACCATGGATTAGATAAAAAGCTCTGAAAACTGCTGCCAACTTGGTAAAACTGGAAACCACCAATTTTAAAACAGAACCCTAGGGTCGCATAAGGATATGAGAGTACAAATGCATGGTGCTCCCCGAGACTTGGCTGTTTTTCTGTCCAAATGCTACTCTCCCTTCCTTCCAGCCCACTCTCCTGTGTCTTCATGGCAAAGTAATATGTGCCTGTTTATATTCCCCACACAAAATTCCTTAAAATGCCATCAAGGTGGGGAGGGACAGACTGAAGCCTTCTCTCTGATTTAGTGTCTGAAGATGAAGCTAAATGGGAAAAGTATATGCTTCTTTCTTTTTAAAATCTGAGTCTGTATTTTGTCATGCTCTAAAGTTGTCTTATATAGCCATAAAATTTAAGATAAAAAGGTAATGAGCCAAGCATGGTGGCACATACCTGTAATCCCAGTGCTTACGAGGCTGAGATGGGAGGATCAACCTGCATTCAAAGCCATCCTGGGCTACATAGTGAGTTTAAGGCCAGGCTTAACTACATAGCAAGAGCCTGTCTCAGAAAACCAAAAGGAATCATTTTAAGTCCCAAACTTCTAGGAAAAATGGTTATCGGTTTACAAATTGATATAAAAACCTAACTGTTTGATGTAACTACAGTGATCTTTATAAATTAATTAGAATAAAACTCTAGCAGTGAATTGCTTTACTTTATTTGGGTTATGTATGTTTTATTTCTAACAAGCACATACCTTACTTGATCTGTAGATACCTACTTATCTTATTCCTGCTATATTAATCACTGAGTTCTTTATTGAAAAGTATTATTTTTATTTTCACTTTGATATTTTAACATTTTAATTGCAGTTAGACAAAAATTAGATTTTCTTTATATACTTTAATGCTTAGACATATTTTACTTTAAAAATCTATGAACTGTGGTATATTAAAGTATAACAGCAAAACTTTGCTTCATAAATTCACTTTAGAATGACAGAAAAATATGTACAACCTGAGTGTCTGTATTTAGACAAATGCCTTTTCCTTAAAATGAAAGCTTTAAAAAGTGCAGTATAAAAGTTTTAAATATGAAGGCACTGCATAACCTGTATGATGTGGCTGTCTTGTTAACAGCAAGAGTTAAATGAAAATAGTCTGCCCTGAATTTAATGGAGCATAAGAAACTTTTTAAAGGAAATACCTAGCTTTCATCAAAGAAAAACCTTTTGGTGCATTTAGTTAATGAAGTCCTTTCCAAGACTGCTGTTCAAAAACTTGTTATCTGGAACAGCTGTCTAGAAGATGCCCCCCACGTGTACGCTTGGTCATACAGTGTGCCCAAGAGTGTAGGGAGACACGTACAGGAGAATATACCTATTACAACAAAGGCAGACATGCCTTTCTAAATCCATGGTTTTTACATACGTACTGCAGAGGATCTATCATAAGAACTTTTAAAGTTTACAGTATTTTTATGAATCAGCTGAGCAGGTATGAACCATTACAATCAACTAAACTGAGCGAGCTCATATCTGCTCTTCCTAAATTGAAATAACAGGACAATACTGATTTATAACCCATGTGCTCTCATGTCCTAAACTGTTACACAAACCACAGCCAGCAGGTTACGTTTGTTATATAACTTGGAAATGCTACTCAGCAGCATGAGCAGTAGTGGTAGCCACAAGATGCTTTGTTTTGGGGTGGTATAGAACTGAACCCTGCAGTTCTGATAGCATATAGCTGACTGCAAATTCCCTTCTTAAGGGCATCCTTTCATTTCAAATAGAAATCTGCCCCTGAAATCAAAACCACACTTTATGTTTTCACAGGAAGAAGCCTTTTAGTAGAAGTGAACTTTGTTCAAACCATTAAAACAGTGGTCCAAAGATTACTGTCTACAAGGCTAAAATAGCTTTACAATCTAGTCGAAAGATTCGTTATTTTTTAAGTGCTTTAATTACATATAAAGGAGAAGAAAATAATATATATGCTTTAATCAGATTAGTTTCAGAACAAATAAAATAACGCATTAGAGAAAAAAATTACTTAAAAATAGTTGTATTTATATTCCACAATTTGCTGAAATACTGGTTTTCTTACAAACTTTCTACAGGATGAAATTCTTCACATTGTGTCTTGACTATGTACTTAGGGAATTTCAGGGAAATAGTTCTGTTTTTAATAGCTTAATTTGTACTAAAGGGATGGCAGGTGGTCACATGCAGTCCATGTGGGATTCTAACATGACGTTCAGTGAGTTTTCTGATGTGGACCACCCCTTTGACGCTGAAGGTAAAGCATCTGTTGACAGAAGTGACTGTAGATTTGGATTACTGCTCTCTGCATCTTCCAGTTTTTCTGTGTTATCTTCCCAGTTAATGTGAAATCTTGTAACCCTGGGATTAGATGCCAAAATGTTCCTTTGAAGCTGGAGGAAAGAAATGTATAAATGATAAAAATTAGGAAAGTTTGATCGCCACATGCAAATAGAAGCTTAACAAAATGATTCTTGATGTTAGTCCTCCTAAGGGGATAAATTCACAAAGGTACCAGCACTCTTGAGTGTAACGAATAACCATGAATAGAAAAGAAATTATTTCAACAAAATGAAAACCAGAGTGTCTCAGGGAATTCATCCAGATATTTCACAATCCCACCCCTAAAAGGAAAAGCTTTTTGTCTTAAAGGTGTGTCAGAGATGTTTTCATTAAACAGTGTTCAAGGAGAATGAGCAATCCCCTCAAATGACCTCTCATTGTTAGTGGCTCCCTGCCTTTTCAGTACAAGGGTTATTCTTCGAAACAGCACTCTAGTTCTCTTTTCTGATACTCACGGCGGCCGTACATGTAACTAATAAATTGGGTCAGGGTAAAGCGCCACACAGGGGGAAGGCGTCCCATCGGGTGATGTGAAAGGGGAGCTCTGTTCTGCCGTATGCTCTCTTGCCTGGTCTGGCAGACAGAGCACCATGTCCAACCTTATTTGTTCTGCATGCTTTCAAGATAAGCTCCACATGGAAAACTCAACGATACTGAGTATCTTCGAGAACAGTGCATCAGTTTTGCTTCTCAGAATTTAACCTGCCTACCATGTGAGATATAACTAGGACCTTCAACCTCTAAGAATAGCAGATAGAAGAAAGCATGTAAGAATACAGAGTAGCAACATTCACATGAAAAACAAGCACAAAAATCCCAACAATTTTAGGAAGAGTTTGGACAAAAACACTGACTAGTCCCTCCAGCAGACAGGAGCTTGCACATCTAAAGGCTGAGGGTAGGAAATGCTTCACTGAGGGCCACACAAAGGCCTCTCGGACAGGGTGTCTGCCCAGTGTTATCCGCCAGCGACTCGTGAAGCAGCAGGGCTGGAGGCTCTCCGTGGTAATGGAACAAGGACCACCCTGCCCAGGTAGCACAAGGGCTTCACATCTGTTTTGTCTGAGCCGTTTACACAGTGTCGTACGAAACAGCAAGGGCCTAAAACACTGTATAGTACAAGTCACTAAAAGGAACCGAAAGAACATTACCTTAGAAAAGTCTGGTTTTACTGGCGGATTTTCCCTTAAATCCATCTCAGTATATTCATTATTTACATAATAGCCAACTCTAATAAATTCTTGACCTCGATAGGTGCAAGTAATTAGCACCACAGTGACGCCAACTGCATCTGCATCTGGAATGAGTCCTGGGTTGGGTGCGTCCGCCTAGGGAGAGTGAACACAGATAGGCTGTTAGTGCGGATACCTGAGCTCACTAGGGGGCAGTGCAGCAGACTGCAGGCGACACTGGGCAGGCACCGTTCACTTTGAAAAGCAGCTATAGACAGCGTGAGCCCGAGAAGCTGCACCTCCACATTTGGAGCTGCTTGGCACGGGGTGCATTACTGTGCTTCAGGGGGCAGGTAACAGGACACACTCCTTGTTATAAAACCTTCTATAAAATACTTAAGCAAATCCAGTCTCATTCATTCTTCTACTCCTGACTTTCACACTTAAATTAAGGAACCTTCAATTATCAGTACACAGCCCATTGGTTGACAGCCAGTGTTTCTTACAGGTTTTCCCTCTTCTGCCCAGAACATGTACATTCTCATCCTCCCTCAACTGCCCCTCACAGATACTCTTAATAGGAAATGAGTATAAGACTGAACAGAGTAAATAGCTATGCAGCAGAGTTAATATTAATGATCCGCTCTGTTGTGAACTCTGCCAGGCTCTGTAACGCAGGGTGCTGTTTAACCCACACTGGTGGAAAGTAGGATTTCGATCTGAACCTTGAGGAATGTAGAAGGGGAAGCCAGAGAGCTACAGGTAGCAAAGAACCAGAGGAAGTAAAGGCCACAGACAGGGAAGCCGGTTCTGCGGCTGTGGCCTGCGGCAGCCACTCCCCTGCCGTGGCCAGACACCAAGGCACAGTTCGGCCAGGTGAGCACCAGCCAAAGGCTTAGCTGGGGAGCATTGCAAGTGAGGCATATGTGACACAGAAAGGCCTAAGATACCTATCCCAGCTCCGTCTTAATTCTCTATGTCTCATTTCTCAAGGCTGAATTTTTGTCCTCTCTTCTTGCCGCAGTGCTGGTGAAACTAACAAGTATCCTCGCCTTAGCCCATCACTTGCACTGCTATCCACTGGCATCGAAACAGATCTGTTCATGCTTCCCTGCTAGACTTGTGCACTTTATCCAGCGAAGGAGTTCCATCCAGGTATCTTTATGCCTGTTTTAAAACCTCAGATGCTTATTCCCATTTCTAAGGGATAAAAATCTCAGTTCTTTAACTTCAGTTCTAAAACCCTTTGTCATTCATCTCCATCCACCCACACCTCCTGTACCTGTGCCTCGCATCCCTGTTCCAGAAGTGGAAGTTACACAAGATGTGCTGATAATCTTTACCCTGCTACGCCTTGAATTCCCTCACATCCTGAAAATCCATCTCTTGCAATCTGTACCATGTATGCCCAGCAAAGCCTGTTCTCACTCAGGAGGTAGAATCAACAGCTTCCTGTTTTATGTCTTTGTTGCTTGACACACATCGTCTACTAGTGTGTGCCCAACGTCCTAAGCGTGTGTATGCTTCAGGCTTTCCTGCTAGACTGGTACACTTTATCCAGGGCAGGAGTTCCATTCAGTTATCTGTGTCATCTGGTATTTGATGCAGCTATGAGCCACCTGGGTTTTGAAATTCACTCCTACACAGTTCCTGTCCGGAAGGGGTTTATGATCTCTTTGGAGACACACTAGGGTGAGGCCAGAGAACATCTCCTGGAAAATACGCCGTTTGTCGTAGGTCTTGTCTAGGATGCCTGCAGGACTCCTGTGTATCTGGAAGAGGGTAGAGATGGGAAATACAGTCCCTCACACCGTGGGGCTTTCCTTACACTGATTCCCTCACTCAGTGGACAGGATGCAGCTTGAGCAGACTCAGGCAGAGAAACAAGCACGTCTTCTGTGACAGCATAGCATGGAGAAGATGGGCAGACGCTGGGCAGGGTCTGCACGTCTCCCTGCTGGCCGCTGACCCACTTAGGAAAAAGGTGTGTGTATTCTGAGGGGAAATCATGGCAGGACCAGGAGAACACTAAGACAGTTGAACACACAAAACAGAAACTATACTTTGGGCCAGTGGTAGCAAACTTAGGGGCTGTTTGTATCACTGAAAGCTCTAAGAAGTTCACGGTCACTGCCTTAGGCGTTTTCTGTTGATACTGGTGGATTCTGTAAAATGCACAGCGAAGCTTGTGACCTGAATCATAAATCTTCTCGCACTTCGTGTTCTTCCTGGCAATATGCACACTAGTACCAGTGGAAAGCTCCCTATCCCTGGAAGGTAGTATTTGCTAGTCAGTTTTTTTTCCAACGGGACTGTAAGATAAAAGCTTAGGATAGTATTCTTAGCAGAAACAGAGAAGATGCACGAGGGTTTATTTCAAAATGAGGCATTTATTAGTAAGTCTGTACAGTAGTGCAGCAGGTATGTTCTGTGTCCCTACACACCCCGAGTTTGTTCGTGCTCATGGCCATCATCAGTAGGGTATGGCACCCCAGGCTGTGGACCAAAGCAAGTTCTGCCTCTTTATAGCTAAGAACAAAAACATTTCTAATCACAGGTACAGATGTGCCCATGATTAGTACTAAGTGCTTCATTTTACAAGGCAGGATCCTACCCATATTCTCTAAGAGCAGAGTGACCCGGAGGTAGGGCCTCCGAGTGAAGTCACGGGTCTAACACGGAGAGGCTAGGGTCTGCCCCAGGTCTGCGCCATAGGGCTTCCTCCTCCACCACAGGTATGCTGTCACCTGGTCTTGTGCAACTCAGGTGACAACATTTGTAGTGTAGTTGAGCCCTCTAATTAGTACATTTGAGCTTTTTTCATGTTTAGAGGCACTAGATTATCTTCTGCTTCCTAATAAAAAGGACTAAGGCTCTGAGACCAAGATCCTGAATTCTGTGTTGAGCTGACGTGCATCTGACTGATTTTTTGCCTCCTTCTGACAGATGGTTGATGCACAGGACTCGGTTAAATTGGGCCAGTCTGCCCAGTGAAGAAACAGGCAGAAGTCAGACTTTTTTTTCCTGGATTAAGCTGTTCCATGGGTGTTTGTGGCCGAAATACTTGTAACAATAAATACTGTCAGTGGTATCTGAGGATAGTTTGTATTAGATTTTCCCTAGTGAGGAGTGGATTTACGACAGTAGTCCTCCATAAGGTGTGTAGCTTATTAGATGCTTTAGTAACTGCTGCACTTTAACTGTAGTGACCCAAGATCCCACATCTGTCACTAACATACCTGCTAATCTAGACCAGTTCTTGAGGAAGCTGAAATACTGTTTTGGTTATATTGTGACTCCTAGTGACTGAAACCACACAGTAAAGATGCGTATTAGTCACGGGTATAGTCATTCTTCCTACTGATGGCCATCCCTAACTAGCAGGATATACCAGACAGCAGAATGTGTCTTGAATCTGTATTTTGGGCTGCTGAAGAGCCATCATGGAAATGTGGCCCACACAAGTTTTGAGCCCAGAATTCACCACCATGTGTGCCTTGATACAGCCAAAGGCTTGCTGTGTGCTGTGCATCTAGAGAACACGACACTAACATCTCTCAGCCTGCAGAACCAAGAACCTAGTTCCTTTAAGACAGAGACTCTGTGAAACATGACAGCAGCAGATCAAAGTGGAAGCAGTTTAGGCAGAGTGGTTTAACATAGAAGGAAATGGGCAGGACCCACAAGGTAGTAAATACAGTCTTCAGAAACACATTTGACATACACATTTATCAAGATCCGTCTTACCTGAAATACAAACATATGCCTTCCTGCAGGAACAGGGCCCACTAAAACAGAGTCTAAAACTTGATCATATTCTTCACTTTCTGCAGAGCCCACATAGATAATTTTCCACTCCAAGTCTAGAGTTAAAAAAACAGAACATTATTTCAGACCAGTAATTATATGACCAAATGTACTCTTTCATGCTAATGTACACTTTAACCATTTACTGGCTGCAAGATGGCTCCTAACCACAGAAAATCCAGAAAGGCACTGAAGTGCTCCTTGTAAAACTTCTATCAGACTTGAAATGCTATCAGCATCGTCCTGAGGATTCACTTCCATTTGAGTGTTCTGAGACCTTTAGTAAAGGACTCAGAAACATCCATTCAGTGTTTCCCATAGTATTTGTCTGTGGAACCCCCACTCCTGTTTTAACAACCCCCTCAACACACGTTGGGAGGGTCGCCCTGAGATCCAAATCAGCAGAGCTCCGAAGCAGAAAAATCACTGGCAGAGCTTCCTAGTGTTCAGAAGTGGGGGCTTCAGTTCATCAGATGAAGAAGTGCGGTGGCACCATCACGGCTTCTGGTGGCTGAGACCACAAGGTGCACCTTGCTGACTGTTACGTTCGTGACGGGGATGCAAGTTACGACCTGCACACAGTGGAGCTTCCCCTCGTGACGCCCCTCGTGGCATACATCCTTGATACGTGTTCGGTGGAGATGGGAACAAGCAGGAAAAGACACTCATGAAACCTCAGGACTGGCGTGTCATCGATCCAGCGGACCTGGAGCACCTTTCATAGCATTTTCTGGGAGAACAGATGAGTAGCACAGTGGCTCTTCAGCAGGGGTGGAAGACAAACTATAAACGCGGATCCTCTCTAGACTTATCCCCAGAGGGGAACGGGCCAGCCAGGCTCCCACAGGCGAGTTTTGGGATCCCACATGGAGGGTACAGAAAATACTGCAGGTACTACACTATTTCTCATTCACCCTGATCATGAACTGCAATTTACTGAGCTGAAAGTTAGGTTTCTACTTCCTGTAAAAGTCAGGAGTGACTTTCTGAGGGCCTATCACGTCACGTCTCTATCCTAGACGAAGACCACTTCTATTTCCAGCTTTTAGCCCATTTCCAGGTGCAGCTTCCTACCTCTGGCGCCTCACAGGGAACCTACTGTACGTGTTGATGGAGCTGGGGAAGCAGCCTTGCAAGGGTCAGTCAGAAGGCAGAGCAGCACAGAGGTAGAAGCAGGCGTTGCATGTAAAGCAGGCGGAAGGGGTTGCTGGGACTGGAGCAGAACAAGGGGGAGGAGGGCCGCAGCCAGGTCCTGCCCAGCTCTGGAGGCCAGCAAGGCCAGCGTGTGACTGTCACACGCCAGGACGCTGCCACTGAGGCTCAGCCCCGGTCTCATCAGAGCTGGAGCGGCAGAGTGGCAGGGTCCGGCATTCCATGCAGAGGACCGTTCAGCTGAGGTGCTCAGGAGAGGGGGAAGGTATTCCAATAGCTAAGGTATGAAGTTAGGTTGGACTGGACCGGGACCATGTATGTCCATAAATTCTGAGGACAGCAGCAGCAGCCGCTGCTTTTGAGGAGCTGAGGGGAGGAGGCAGATCATCAGGAGCTGCTGGAGGCATGTCTGAGGTGTCTGCTGGATGTTCAGGGGAGAAGCCGCGCAGCGCAGGGAGATGTGCAACTGCCAGGGAGACAGGCACAGCCAGACAGCACAGGCTTCCTCCGGAGTTAAGGGCAAGATGAACGAGCGGCAGCTGTTTTAAGGAGGGGTTGGGGAGGCCACAGATGAGCCAGAGGAGGACAAAGCAGAACTGCCACGGAGTTCACAAAGTGTCGTCCACCTGTACGTATCTGTGTGTAACGCTCTTGGACCTTAACTGCTGCAAACGAACACAGGCGCGAAGCCATGACTTACAGACGGACTTTGAAAAGCTACTCGCCACGTGCCCGGCCTCGGTCCTACCCCTTCACACTGGTGCTTACCCTCAACAGTGCTAGCGTGCCTGTGATTACGCAACACACGCGTTTACTATAACTGCAAGTAGTGCGCAAGCAACAAAGTTCAGGCTCTGAGAGGTGAAATAATCCAATGATCACACAGCTTACATACTAATGAGAGTCAGAATTCAAGCTATGCAGCTGCAACTCTAAAGCCTAACACAGGGAAGAGAAACTTTGCCTTTCTAGCACAAATCAACAGTGGAATAAGGAAACTTAATTCCGAGGGAGGGAGGGGTTGTGGAGAACAGAGGCAGTGGGGGGTAATCTTACTGCTGTGGCTCAAGAATACCACACATCGATTTTATGCTGTGGGATGTGGTGGTAGTAGCTATTTGGTTGGTTGGTTTGTTTGGTGTTTTTTTTGGTCAGCCTCTCACTGTGTAGTTCAGGCTCGCCTTGAACTCACTTTGTAGCCCAGGATGGCCTCAAACTTGCAGCAATCCTCCTGCCTCAGCCTCCTGACTGCTGGGATTACAGGTGTGCACCACCACATCCAGCCTAGCTACTCGGTTTTAAATGGTCAGTGCCATTTTAAATTAGTATCAGCTGTTTTATTGTATTTATTTTTGTAGCACTGGGAATTGAACCTAGGTCCTCTGCACTGAGCAGTATCGCCTATCCCTTTAAATTTTTATTTTGAGATAGGGTCTTGGTAAATGACTAACTTGCTTAGGCTGGGCTCAAACTTGCAACCCTCCTGCCTCAGCTTCCTGGAGAGCCAAGTTTACAAGCATGTGCCAACATGCCCGTTGTTTTTTTTTTTAAAATCCAAGTTTCATTTGTTAGTCCCTTGTATTCCAATGAGAAAGCATAAGGTTTTACACAGGTTACCACTGCAGATGTTAACTCATTTATTTAACAAGTTAACTAATTCTTTCATTTAATCAAGGTTTTCCCAGCCTTGACAGTAGAGTATCTCCACTTGTGGTGGAAATAGGTGAGGGAAGCCATCGAGGGAATCTGAAGTTAATCACCTGTGGGCCAGTGGAAAGCAGCCACTGGAATTAGGATAAACCTGAAGTATCTAAGGGTAAAGCGCCACGTGCCATTCCGGTGCACTGTGGACAGCCAGTGTCCCTGGCTCTGACGATGGACACATCAGTGATCTTAGCAGTGGTAGTGACCTTAGAGTGGCACCAACTTCTGTAGGACTGGTGACCAAACAGGAGAAAGCCTGCCTCAGTTGTGACCTCCCATTTTTAAGGCTGTTCTCCTCCCTGATATAAATCTTATATTAGAAACAACCTAATTATCTGAAGAGCAAATACTGCCAGATCTTTCTCCCTGGGGCAGCTTTAAGGAAAGTGAAAACACTTGGAGACTACTGACAAGGAAAAGTATGCAAAATGGTGGCTGAGCTGTGACCTAGGACTTGAGGCAGAATACTTTATAAAATGAAAATTCCCCTGAATATTCTGTAACTTAGTTTCAGGATCAGGTTTTTCTTAAAGAACTACAGTACAGAAGAATGAAACCTACCAGGACCCTTTGCTAGGTAAACTCCACTTCCTTAATCCGCACAGCCTCTAGGTGGAGTACACAAGCATGGCACCTTTTTGAAGGGTTCCTTTGCAGCTTTGGAATGACTCAGCTTAAAATATTTTAAAAGTACTACCTAAATGCCCAGTGGTGGTATCCCGGTGAGGTGTGACCGGTGGAAGTAGGTGCACCCTTGACCTTGTGCCTGGCCAGATTCTCAAGAAGCTCGGTTAGTGTTTAAAGTGGACACAGTTCGGCCTCTACCAATAGGGCTTCAAAGGAGCCAATGGAAAGGCTCTGCACAGCTTCGAGTCCTGCCTTCCTGCTTCAGAGCAGCCGCCTAAAATGGAGGGCATGGTGTGCTAGAGCCTGAACCAAAGCGCCTCAGTGCCTGCCAGCCTGCAGCGAAGGCTGAGGTGGGCGACCAGGCGCTTTCTTCTGTTCGCCTACGCGCCTGTGCAGGGGCAGGAGAAGTGTTGGGCCTGAGAACGGGGCTGAGCCCTGAGCTGCCGACTGGAGCACGATGGGAGAAACGATGGTTTCAGAGTAGTAAGAGAAACGCCATCTAGTTCTGTTACCAATGCTGTATTTGATAGTACTCTACTAATGTCATCCTCCAGAGTGCGCCTCACATATAAATGCACGTGTGTACCTGTGCTGTACATGTACCAGGACATCCAGGCACACGTTAAAGTGTTCACTGTGGTTAGCCGAAGGAACGGGAGGGCCTAGGAACCGAGGACTCTTACTTTATATATGTTTGTCCAACTTTGAAAAAGTTTATTGCAGAGGGCATGTGCTGGTTTTATAATTAAGGTTAACATGGAATATTTTAGAGATGAAAAGCTAATTTTTAAAACGAAAACAATGCTTTACATGCCATGATTAGTGTAATGCTTTTAAAAGAATTCTGTCGAAAATGTTCCCCTGCTTAGCTGTAAAATTAACAGCGAAGTTAAACTTCGTAAAATTCTGAAAATGAAGCTCTAAGCCGTCCTCACAAATCCAGGAAAAGCAGCGGTGAGCACACGTTCTGCTGTGGGCGGAACGGGCTGCCCCTCCGCGCCGCCCGCCGCCCTTGCTGTGCAGCTATTTTGCGGACGGCCCGGCCTCGGCCCGCCCAGCGCCGAGCAGCGGCGCCGCGAGCTGCGCGTAACTTGCGAGC